GTTCGGCTCCACATGGAATATTGTTACTATCACTGGGCTGGAGCTCCCCAGTACCAGCTCCTTCCACTTGACCGCATCCAGCGCAGAGCGGCTCGAATCGTCGACGACCGAGTGCTTTCCGATCGGCTCGATTCACTGGCACTGCGAAGAGATGTTGCATCTCTTTGCATTTTATTTCGCATATACCAAGGAGAGTGCTCTGAGGAATTGTTCGGATTAATCCCAGCCGCCAAATTTCGTGAACGCACTACGCGGCAAACGTCCCGATACCATCCACACCATCTGGATGCTTGGCGGTCCACCACAGTACGTTTTAAAAGGAGTTTTCTTCCGCGTACAACCTCTCTGTGGAATAGTTTACCACCGGCGATTTTTCCGGACCGATACGACCTGGGGACCTTCAAGAAAAGAGCTTACTCCTTTCTAAAGGGCCAGCAACGCACCTGCAGTTCCCCTGGTGTTGCGGTTGATCATGGGCGGCGGTAGTCACTTAACATCAGGTGAGCCGCATGCTCGTTTGCCCCCTCTTCTATAAAAAAAAACTAATCTGTATCTGTTACTGTTAACAAAAACTAATCTGTATCTGTTACTGTTAACAAAACTCCCTTGAATTGCCCCCCCCCCCCCGTGACAGAGTCCTCAAATTCAGGCGATTTAATTTCAAAGCCAACCCGTCAAAGAAGCAATGTGCTTAATATCAAAGTATATTATACCATGAGACTACGAGTAAATCTACTATAGTTGCCCATACATATACACCTGAAAGTGTAAATGACGGTATTTCATATATGAAATTTTGGATCAAACCTTCGATGTTCAAAATATAAATAATGTTTGTGTTGTATTGCTTCGAATTTTTAACTTTGGTTCATTGAAATCAGCATTTAACCTACGCATGTGTTCATAAGAAATCACATTGAAAGATCAACGATCTAGTGATTTGAATAATCCACGGCATTTCTATTCATAGAGTTCGGCTTTTCTAATTGAGAAGCTGAGAGAGGTGGATGCACGTACATTATCATGGTATCCATTAGCCGTTCAATAGAGATTTATTGCGTTCTGTTAACTAATGATTTAGGGGCGAGATAAAAATAAAACTGTTCGTGCTTTTTAAAATTATTTATAAGTTACTACCGTCGATAAATTAAACAAGTTCAGTTAAGTTACCAATCTATATTTCAAATAAATATAGATTTTGTCTTCGTGGAAATTTTTTTAAACTAAAGTGTGTCTAGGCAACTGAGTTATGATGTAGTTTTGTTTTTAACATAATAGCAGCTAGCTAAAAATTTTCTGCTTGTGATGAAATCTAAAATGAAATTTCCGGATTAGGTCTTATCTCAATGAATATGTAATTTAAATACAATGAACGGAATACTAACAATGGGCCGCCCTTTTAATAACTGCCATACCGTTGGGAATATAAGATAGCCAAGCTGTATACTTAGCTGTGGGTTACAAACGGGCTAAAATAAAAATAATTTTATTTTGCACGCCTTTATGCAAAAAATCTAAAGTATTTAGGTGCCTTCCTAAATTATGAACGTACAAGGTAGGCTTGACTTTTGACCAATATAATTTGACCTGCGAAGGTAAAGAAAATGAAATTATTGTTGATGAACACATTGGAACAGGGCATCGGACTATTTCCTCCAAAACAATTAGAAATGAGAGGAGGCCTGTCACGTAAATTTACTCACTTTAAACATGAGAGTACATGCAACACTTGTTACGATTTTTACAAACAGCAATAAATAATCTACTTATATTTTGTTTCCATTTTCATCTCTAGCGTATACATGTTTTAACATAAACGATTTTTTAAATAATTAACTGCCCCGTCTGACTGAACTACGACGTATTGTTGTTGTGCTAACAATTTTACGAACGTCAATTATTGCGTTTAACTGTTTAAAAGGCTGAAAACGTGATTACTTTGAAGTTCGTTCCACCTTATCAAATCACGAAAACTAAAGAAAATTCTCAGTAAAACTATGTGTTTTCTCACGCTTAACATGAAGGAATCCTTTCAACGTAATTTCCAACTGTTTTTGAAAGAAGCTTACTCTCGAAGACACAAAAGGACCGAGGTAGAAGAAGGGCATTGTTGGATTAAACCATGTAAAGATTTAAAAAAAATTCCAATAGAAAATAATAGAATAGAAATTTTTTAATTCAATATAGGTTATGAAAAAAATAGTTCTTATTTAAAGTAATTTTTTACTTTTGCCACTAGTTCGTTCTGAAAACATCCAGCAAGAAACCAAAAATTTCCAAATTTCTGCATTAGTATTTTACAACAAAAAAATAGCTTGTACAATTTATAATAATTATTTGAGAAACAGTTTGGAGGCTACCATCTATATTATAATACTTTTTAGGGTCTGCGTTTAAAATTAAAATTAAACTTGTAGGTACATTTTTTTTAGACTTTGTTGTATGTACATTGGCCCATGAATGAATTACGGGCGACATGCATTCGACTATCTGGCATCACTAGCTTGTATTTTGTTCCTGGTGTTTACAGAGAGTCTATGTCCTTTTTATGTTAAAACTAATTTTGTTTTTGTTAACCTAGGTAGATAAAATTTTTGTTAATATACTGAAAGACCAAAGTTAATATATTTATTTTCTTGAAATTTTCTCTGAATCTTTCGGTTTTTAGTTAAAAATAGCGCTCATGGCCCAATTCTGAAAACATAAATAGTTTCCAAATCAGTTGCATTTCCCCATAGCAAAATATATAATAAAATATTATTAGGCTATGGAAATAATATCATCATCATCATCATTAATTACTACAGCCCTTCACAAGTCTACTACTGAACATAGTTCACTTCCCCAAGGAATGCCACAAAGCACGGTCCTGAGCCACCTGCATCCAATGACTTCCTGCATGTCTTACCAGGTGGTCACTCCATGGAGGACGCCCTACACTTCGCCTGCGTTTACGAGGCTGCCACTCGAGAACCTTTTTTCCCCATCGGTTATCGGTTCCTCGAGCTATATGTCCAGCTCGTTTCCACTTCAGCTTACTTATCCGTTGGTCTATGTCGGTCACTCTGGTTTTATTGCGGATATCCTCATTCCTAAGCTTATCACGCAGATAAACTCCAAGCATAGCCCTCTCCATAACCTTCTGCTGAGCGATCTTGAGCGTCCTCATACGGCCAGCAGTGAAGGATCACGTTTTAGATGCATAGGTATCAAATATATAATAACAAAAATAAACTAATCTATCCCCCTCGTCTCTAGTAAGACTACTAATCTTTTCTCCAGATCAAGTAGATTAATACTTGCTAGTTTAGACGTAGGCGATATATCGTTTTTACAAAAAAAAAAAACTAGAAATGTACAAAATGTGTCAAAAACAAGTTTAAAAGTTTTATTAAAGAAAAATTGTACGTAAAGGATTATTATAATATCAAAAAATACGTGAATAAAAATAACCCCTGGGAATGAGGTGATCGTTACTATGCCGGTTCTATCAAAATTCATTTAAAAAATTGTACAAAATTATTGTAAAGTGAAATATGTTAAAAAAAAATCCCGCTGGGTTTCTTGCTGGTTCTTCCCGGGACAGAGTATTATCCGAACCAGCGGTAAATAAAAAAGACTTTCAGTAATAATAATCAAGTATTATGTCATAATCTATATTTAATAAAAATTATTCTGTTCTGTATAGGAGTACTTACTGAAATTTTGAATTGAGAGTAGTTTTACGAAATAATGGGAATCGACGGAGGCCAGTTCTTCCACGTTTAAAAAAGAAATTGATTTTTTTAATTTGTTTTTTATACATTTATTTTATTGTAGTTTTAATGTAGATTGTTAGTGTTAATCAATGTACTAATTTTTATATAGTTTTATTCACTTCGTCATAGTCGCCGTTCCAACCTTTCATGAATGTCGATTGCGAACCAATGAAGTACTGTCTGTAAATAATAGATACTATATCATGATTGTTTTAACTTTTACCTTAATATAACTTTTTGCGTTTTAGCACAGTATAATAGTAAGTACGAAATAATAAGTTTAAGAGCAATGTTATTTGTACCTAATGCAATAGTTTCCTAATTAATATCACATGACGAACACTGACAAAGGCTTTGAAAAGTTCACAAAATATTGTATATTCTATAGCATCTTCTAATATATGCACAAAAAAAGGGTTTGATCAACTCAACACCGACGTCAGTTGTTGAGCGACCGCTTGTAAAAACAAATTGATATTTATACCGTAATTTTTGTCAGGGCGACACCGACAATTTGCATTGCAAAATTCCAAACTGACTACGGGGGCAAATTCCTCTTTTACTGCGATCATCAATCCTTCCGTTAAGCGTGGTTATTATGGCAAATCATCCCAACAGCGAGAGAGGTATTTTGCTGCTCGTATTCTAACGAACGTGTCGATTTATAAGTTAATAACGGGTTATAAGCCTTTTTAAAAATTTAATATTATTTACTGCTTTCCTTCAAAAAAGTTTCATTTTCATCAGGTGTCTAAAATTTACCACCTATTTCTACATCTAAAGTAATATAGAGACTTAGTTATATGCTTCTAAGTAATAAATAATATAATATATGTAAATTGTATATACAATGTTTTTCATACATAATTTTGATCACGGTGGCCAGTCTCAACGGAGACTCGCCATCTGCGCAAGACGGGACTATAATGACGACTGTGTGAGTAAGCACAGGTGCACTCTCTATTCCTTCACTCTCATAGTCCGGTGGGACGGCGATCCGACACGACCGGAGAGAGATCTGGTGCAGGAGCGCGGGATCAAGGACTTTAAGTGTTTTCCGAGGCAATGGAGTGAAACACCACCAACTTCCTGACTTCAGGCTGCTACTGAGTGTTCTTGACAGGGGATTTTAAACTTACATCATACACATTTGGGATCATAGAGTAATGCTTACAACATCAAGCCAGTTAAGGCAGTAATAAATATATCAAAGGGGCGAACACAGGATGAATGACTACTTACGTGACATTGCGACAGCGTGCCGACGGACTCCATATCACCAGTATCGTGACAGTCAACCACAAAAATCTCTGTGGAAGAGATGATATTTATATTAGAGTTTAAGTTACTTTCAACAGGAATAATTTTGTTATCTATGTTATGCAAAAATTATTCTAGAATAGATATTCTACGCTGTTACCTTATACATATAATTGGGGTACGACCACGCTCTCACAGAATGAATGGAAACCTTTTACTGGAAATGAGGCGTTCCATCTCATTCCTCAGGGGTGACAACGCATCTGCAGCATCCATTTACCATCAGATGGACGGTGCTCGTGTTAACCTTATTCTGTAAAAAAAATTGGAGGTGCGATTAATATTCCTCCTTTAAAATTGATGCTTAGCACAAGTTTTTTATAGAATTGGGTGACAAACGAGCACACAGTCCACCTGATGATAAGTGGTTGCTGTGGCCCATAGACATCCATATTTATCCTCAATTAAGAATCAAAATGTAAATGCATTGTCACCCTGGAGGACTGAGATGGAATGCCTCGATTCCAGTAAAAAGGGTATCCTGATTTCTACACTCCGGAGCCTACACTAACTATACGAAATACAGCAGTATTACGCTGCTATTTTACGCTGGTATTCCGTGAGAGCATGGTCCTGCCCCGGTTGGGCCGAACAATTCGTGCTACAAGTGCAAAATAACTGCAGCGTGGCTCTACCACGTACTAAACGTTAATGGTTTCTGGCGAAAAGACGTTCTATGTGATTTCTCACGAGTTCATTACACTACGTAGCTCAACAGCATCAGGTATTCAAATGAATATAATGGGTAACTAACAATCATAGTAGAATAGTATAGCGAGTATAGCGTAGTGCATCAATGTTTAATTTTAAATTAAAATATCACGCACGAACTGGTCCATGAAGTCACAAGGCTCCAACAAAAAACTAGCACAGCAGTTTACTATGAAATTATCTTAAGTTAAACTTATATCTCTATTTTCTGGATGTTAGCGCTGTTAGTCTATACGACTAGATGTGATCAGGGCTATAAACTTATATTAACGTTTTAATACGTGTTTCCCAAATAAATGTTATTTCTTTCATAAGCAGCTGAGCGAACGAGATTTGCTCGGTGTAACAAAAAAAAATTCAGAGATGAAACTCTATATAAACTTGGAAAGTAAAACATTATATTTTAATCTATTGAGTAGTTTCCGAGAATTTTTGGTTGTATTAATGTACATGAATTGCTAACTTAAACTTGTGCATTGACTATTTGTTGTCGGCTTGGTAGAGCATTGGCTAATCGTTTGACAGCGACGCGACGCTATGTAAATAGCGTGGGATCAATTCCCGCAGCGAACAATTTTTTGTATGACCTACGAAAGGTAATTGTTGAGCTCCACTGCTCTTAGTATTATTTATTTCACAATTCTTCATACACGAACAGCTAAGCTATGTCAAAGTAGAATAATAATAATAAAACATAGACAAACATCTACACAAAATAAATAGCAAATGTATTGTAGGTACTACGTAAACGTGATAATCTGTTAGGGTCAGGTTATCGCGTGATCCCAAGTCTCATCTTTTAATTTAACGCTTCTATATTAACTAACAAACACATTCTAGGCTTGGCTAAGATTCTTAAGCACATTATGGTAAGACTTATTCCGTCTTATTGTAAAAAGTCGTTAATAATTTAGTTTAAACCATAGTCTGTTTCAATAACAGTTTCTTGAAAATGTGCACTCTCCATTCCACTCTCATAGTAAGATGGAGCGATAAACCGACACGACATTAGAAATATCAGGCACAGTACTAACGAGGCTTTGGGGTAAATCATCGGCAACTTCCTAACTCCCGGGCCGGACGCGACTCGGAACCACATAATTAGCAGTCGAGATTATGACCAGTAGAATAACAAATAACGAAGCAGTCAAAAATAGCACCATAATCAAAAGAAATACTGACTATAACTTAATCTCAAACCCGCTTTAAGATTTTTCTTTTTCTTCTCTTCGTATTCTATAAAATAATAAAAATGGAACCTACTTAATAAAAGGTGATTTTATAACCACTCTACGAGTGTGTAATCAAGCGACACGTACGTGTATTGAATATTAAAGTTATGCGTTACATTTTATACTTTTAAAACGAGTTGGGAATATAAAGTATCATCTTGGAAACATAGCTTGTTATTTTCGCATTTATGCTTAATTAAAGTACTACGAACATTAGGAAAGGAAGCGAGTTATCTATAAACATATAAATAAAATTGAAGTGTCTGTATGTACTTAATATTAAAACAACAAATCCTATTAAGCTCAGCAGGTCATTTGTTTTTCTGATTATGATGAAACTTAAATAACGGGTAGAGAACAGTGTCAGGAGTGATCTGGACTATATTTTATTCCAAATACGTGCGGACTCTTTTTTGGTGAAAGCGAAAAACTTTATTTCAGTTTTTCGATTTCACCGAACGGTTTTTTTATTTGATAGGGTGACAAACGAACACACAGTCCACCTGATATATATGATAAGTGGTTGCTGTGGCCCATAGACATCTACATCCATCCTCGATTACAAATCAAAATGCAGATACGTTGTCACCCGTGAGGAATAAGATGGAATGACTCGTTTCCAGTAAAAAGGGTATCCGGTTCTCTACACTCACTGGTGTTTTTTTTTTTTTTTATTTTTTTCTGGCTCTCCCTAAATTTCCTATAATTTTTTTTCTTTCTACTGTCAATCAAATTATTTATTAACATTTTTTGTTCAACACTACTTTACATCATAGCTGTATTAAAGGTTCAAGTGATAAGAACTTCTTTACGTGGAATTAGTCGATCTTCAACCTTTATGTTAACATTTTCCTATATCGCACAGTTTTCGAGATAATAGCCAAAACTAAATTTAACCTGATTTTTCGATAATTGATCTAATTGACCTAATACCACTTTTATAGATGTGCAGGTATTTGTAAGTTTAAAGCTAGTTTATATATAAAACTATAATAAATATAAAATTCGTCTTTCTAAGACTATCACATTTCATGTCGTTCTGTGTAAGTTAAAATTGAATTACTTATTATTAGTGTGTTAATTTGAGACACATGTCCGACACGTCCAGCAGTTACAGTATAATGCCTCGGCTACTACAGTAGAAACACGAGACATCTAAAAATAATTTGTCATTTAACTACAAGTGAGCTCGGGTTTAAATTAGTTACCACAGAATATATCACCGGAAATTTGTAATTATTTCGTGGATTTAAGAGTCGGTATCACCTGCCACGGCCTGTTTCAAACATTTATTTTTCAATGACTATTTTCTTGCTATGTTCATTTAAGATAGGCTTTATATCCTCTATTATATCAGACACGTAACATTGTTTGACAACTTTGCTGCAATCCAGTAATTTGTGCGTTATTGTTTTTGTAGCCTGCAGAATGTGTAGTCTTTCAGTCTCGCTCTCTCGAATAAGTGATCGTAATGGACTTTTACGCAAGTTGTTAAAGCGGGTATCGTTTAGAAGTAGTTTTCATCTTTTCTAATGCTCACAAAAGTCTATAGCTGAATGTGCCTTATATACTAACCTAATTAGTTACAGTTACCCAAGTTAGTAGAACTAATTTACTAACTTGGGTAACCATAGGGGATAGAAAACAAAAGGAAACTGCGTAACTACTCCCACATAAATGATTTAGGCAAACCTATCCGCTTCGAAATACATCGTACATAAGCGATTTTTTATACAATAAGAGTGACAAAAGTGATGGTAGGTGGATGCATTGGCCCATAGACATCTACATTTATCATCGATTAAGAATCTTATGTCACCCCTGAGGACTAAGATGGAATGTCTCGTTTCCAGTAAAAAGAGTCTCCGGTTCTCTACACTCACCATACGAAACACAGCAGCTTTAAGCCGCTATTTTACGTTGGTATTGTGAGGGCGTGGTCCTACACCGGGCTTGCTGACCCATTCATGTTAAAACCGTAATATAGCTGCAGTGTAGCTCTACCACGTAAAGAAATAGAGAAGTTACTTAATTTTAGGAGCAGAGAGAGACATAGGCGGGTTGTTTATTGAGGTGTCGGAGTTTCATTTCTCCTTGGCGTCTGGCTGGATTGATATCACCCTCGTATCTATTTTTACTTCTGAGCAGCAGTGAATCCCGTGCTACCAGCAGTGAATCCCGTGCTACGAGCATTTCATCATAGTCTTTGGAAGTGAGAGCACATCCGTGCCCTCCTTGTTTGAATTTGGTCTTTTAGGTGTCCATGGGTGCTCAAAATCTCGAGGATCGTCAAAGAAATGTTCTATGTATAAGAACTCTACTAGATGATGTGATGACCTGGTAAGAAATGCAGGAAGACTGTCTGAACCCACACAGGTGGCTCGGGATCAAGACCTTTTTTATAACATTCTATGGGTACAGCAGTGACTTGTTATTGGTCGTGTTAATTATGATGTTGAATTATAAAAAATTGAGTAATAATTATTATGTCCTCCAGACTGAATTCCGATCACGGCGACCAGTCTCAATTAAGAGACAAAAATATAATAAAATATTTGGAACAATAACAGGGGTGAATAAATGGACGTGGACGGTAAAAATTATAACATATTCGATATACTTATATTATATAACAAATGCAAAAAATTTTAATGAGATGTGATATCGTTGTGCCACATGCGGATTTTATGCTACGTGCTCTAGATGCGTTCTCCAGAAGGATATAGTTAGGTATCTGGGATTTGTGTCTAACATTAAAATCTGTTCTGGTTAGTCATAGTTGTTATTTCTAATACGGATAAATAATGTTTAATTGCGATTGGTAGCCTTTAGTTCAGTTACTTAAAGTTGATCTAAGGTTTTCGATTAAGTATTGAAAATTAGCGAAAAACGTAAAAACCTGTATTTTAAACTGAAGTTTAAACTGAACTAGAGTCGTCCCAAATCCGAGATTTGGTTTATTAATAACTCGACTTCAGACACAAGTTTGTCCCGATAGTTAATGACATGTTCCTGAGAAATATTACCACGGCCAGTGTAAAAGCCTG